AGGGCGCGGGCCAAGGAGGGGCGAGGTGCAGCCCGGGAGTGGAGGGGTGGGGCTGGGTCCGGCCGAGGAAGCTAGATGGGGACGGGGACCGCTGAGACACCCCAGCCTGCCGCCGTGCCGTCACGCAGCCTCGGCCCCGGAGTCCGGGGCCCAGCGGCCTCTGACTTCAGTCTTCCCGGCCTGACCTCCCCAGGCCTTTCCGGACTCCAGAGTGACAAGGCCGGGCTGGAGAAGCCGTCTTCGGGCGTTGCTAGTGCAGCAGGGATGGGGTTAATGTTGCCCGGTTCAGCTTCTTTACCAGGCCATGGGGGGGAGAGGGAGGAGGAGGACGGGTGTCGCCTGCGGGGGTTGAGGGAGAGCTTAGGCGTCCTGGCAGGTGCCTTGGGTGGGTGGTGCAGATGCTCAGAGCAGCTGGCTCACCTGGGGCCTTGGGTAGGGGGCTGCCAGGAAAGGGGGGAAAGAATGGAGGGGCTGATGTGGGAGGGGGAACCTTAGAGTCACAGGAGCACTGGCACACCTGCCCTTTTCCCACTGGGGACAGAAGCTGTCAGTCGCTCAGCAGACAGCAGAAACAATCACCCATCATCATCACAGGGGAGTCCCAGAACCTCAGACTTGCAGGCTTTGAGAGGTACAAAAAGCCTTAGAGATTAGAACCACCCCCTCATTTTAGAGATGAAGAAACTACTACTCAGGTTGAGTGACTTGCTCCAAGTCACCTCAGGTCTCCACACTCCCTGTCAGCCTTTTCCTGTCCCATCCATGTGTCTCTTGGGAGTGACAAGCATGGGGGAGGGAGGTTGTATTGTCCTCTGGATGCACAGGGCAGTGGTGGAGGCTCATCCACAGCACTATGGCATGTGTCCCCAGAAGTGGGAGGAGCCTTGATCATCCTAGCAGTCCCCCAACAAGGGCGTGGGAGGTGGGATGATGAAAGAATCCAGTGAGGAGCCCGTGACAGCTGCTCGGGAGACCCCAACCCATTTGCCTGCTTAGGACTGTGGGGAATCAATCACCTGGGCCTCTGCATGTCGTGTGTGGGATAGTGTCTGAGGCTCTAAGGGGCACGTGTGGCTTTCCATGCACTATGGAGTGTGTGCAGGAGGCTGTAAATCCATGTACCCCTGTGAGATCGTGCTGAGTTGTCAGATGACAGATGCCTGGAAAGAGGTGCATGCAGGATGGGGGGTCGTGCAGAAGTGAAGAGGGAAGTGGGGACTAGAGGGGGTAGCCGCCCCCCGGCCCTAGGGGGAGGAGGCAGGGATTGTCATTAAACTTTGGGGGGGGGGAGTGAGAGGAGAGCTGGGGGCGGGGCCTGGTGCCAGCCTGTGGTTTTCCCTCAATTTCCCCCCATCCCTCCTCCCACTTGGCTTAGGGAGCCAGTGGACACCAGGAGACATGGGTGCACTTCAGGGCTGGCTAAGTGCACGGACACTGGTGATCAGGGTGGCTCCATCGAGGGCAAGGGGCCAGGTGAGGGTGATGCAGTGGCACGCCACCTGGCTCTCAGGGTCCTGACTGCTTGGGTTTCCAGGCTTTGAAGGCCATGGCCCTGCGTGTGCCTGCGCACAGGTGAGCTGCTGTCTTCTGGGCAAAGCAGAGTCTCCTCCGGTGGAGGCTGGGGGAGTGGGGTTGAGAGTGGTCCTGTCAGGCCTGGAAGGAGGGGCCCTGGAAGGGAGAAGAGCCTGAGGCTGCACCTGTATCCAGGAAGCCCTTCTCTACCGTCCTGCAAGAAACTGCCTGAGAGCAAGGAGGGGCGGGGGAGGAGGTGGGGAAGGCGGGTTCCAGCCGCAGGCCGGCCTTACCTCTGAATTGTTCCGGGGAGCCCGAACCGTGTTTAGGAGGATGGAAGCGCAGGTGCTCCATTCTGCTGGGCCATTCGCAGGTCTAACTGTGCTCATGGTGCCCATGTTTATAGTCCCTGCGTTAGGGACAGAGGCCAGCAATGAACAGCCTCCGCCTCGGTGAAAAACCGTAAAACCAAAGGCTAACCGGGGTTGGAAGATAATCCAACCCCCTTGTTTGCACAGAGCAGACTGATACCAGGGCCAGCTGGAGGCCTCCCCCTGCACCTCTGCACGGCCTCATTTTGTTGTGATGGCTCATCGAATAGTACAGCTTCTCCACTGATCCATACGTTCTGGGAGGGCAGAGACTGCTCCTGCCTTATCCTCCGTGGTTCTCCCAGAGTTTAGCACAGTGACTGGCACAAAGTAGACTCTCATTGAAGGAAGGAGGAGTGTGGAAGGAAGGAATGGCCGGCATTCACACTCACACTCCCGTGGTAAGTTCACATCCTCCTGCAAGAATAACATGAAGAACCAAACTTCACTGATTTGGAATTTGCCGTCATACAGACACTGCAACCTTGATCCCAACAAATAAAGGTTAAAAATCACTTCTTTCTATTTTTAGGGTCTTACTCATGAAGAAGAGGGATTAATAATAAGAAAAATGTACCTCGTATTTGTATAGCACTTTAGACCTTTCTAAATGCTCGTATGCAAATTATTTCCTTTGATTTTTACAATAACCTTGAGCATAGGAAAGAGATCAGTCAGCTGCCTCCCCAGCTGCCCTCCCAACAATGGAGGGGTTCTGAATCCCACAGGAGGATGTAATCACGGTGAGGCCCATGCAAAGAGCCATAGAGAACTGGTTCATCAGAGGAAATGCAGTCTGCATGAGAGATCTCTCCATCTCTCTTCCAGGGAAGGACAGGTCACCAGTTCCCACAGTTTGAGAAAAACATCCCTTTTATCTGATTTGGACCAAAAAAAAAAAAAAAGTCTAACAACAGAATAAAATTGAGAGTCCAGAAATAAACCCTTAAATTTATGTCCAATTGATTTTTGACAAGGGTACCAGGACAATTAAATGGGAAGAAAGTGTTTTTAACAAACGATGCTGGGACAAATGTATTTCCACATGCAAAAGAATGACATTGGACCCCTACCTCATACCATATACAAAAGTTGACTCGAAATATATCTTACTCAATGTAAGTGCTAGAACCATAAAACTCTTGAAGAAAACACAGGTAAAAATCTTAGTGACTTTGGATTAGTCAGTGGTTTCTTAGATATGACCCAAAAGCACAAACGATGAAAGAAAAAATAGATGATCTTCATCAAAATTAAAAACTTTTGTGCTTCAAAGTACAC